GTTATTTTGACAGCAAAATACAACAAAGAATATCATTTACATGTAGCGCGCATAAGTAGCGCGTCAATTCTCTCTGTCCCTCTCTCGGTGCGTGTGTGTGAAACAAAGCGACGGCGAGTCGTGCGCCTTCACACTAGAGTTTACATATATACACATACAGTATATATATATATATAATATATGTTTGTGAAATGGCACAGTTTTATAAATATCTGAAAGTACACTCTTAACATCAGTCAGTCAAGCATTATAATATGATAATCAATGTTATTTAATGATATAACTTTTGTAATTAGAATTAAAACTTGATAACCATGTATGAATGCATATTAGTAATTTTAACTGAACTTCGGACTGGTGGTGGTGCTTTTTTGGTCATTCAGTGTTTCTGTACAAAAAAAAAAAATTGGGGGGAAACCCTAACAAAAATACTGATTAGATAATAATGATACAAATTCTACTAATAAGAACAATATAAAACTCGCCAAGGATTAATGAGCTACTGGATTCATGAATATTAATCAGGTTGTGTGCATTCGCTCGAACTGATTAGCTGAAATCAAAACAGGGACGATAATAGGTGAGCGCCAGCCAATGAGATTGCCGTTTGCACATTAGTTCTGCCCACTAGCGGAGAAAGCGGTAGTTCTTAAAAGCGGAAGAATTCCAAAGGAACTCCGTTATTTTGACAGCAAAATACAACAAAGAATATCATTTACATGTAGCGCGCATAAGTAGCGCGTCAATTCTCTCTGTCCCTCTCTCGGTGCGTGTGTGTGAAACAAAGCGACGGCGAGTCGTGCGCCTTCACACTAGAGTTTACAGCACAGATCGCTTGACGGAGAGTGAAACTCTGAAGCACTCAGTCAGAGTGTTCGGCGAGTGAAAATACATCTGAGCTAAACTTATACTTAGCCTCCAAGTCACACACTGGCGAGTAAAATCTGAGAATTTATTAGCAATTGGCTAATATTAGACTTCATTTAGTCGCCAGAGTGAAGATTTAGTCGCAATGTAGAGGGTTGCGTCACATTGACAGGCCCCTCTCACGATAGTTTGATTGACAGTAGCATTTCAGCACAGACTGGACTGGTGTCTTTCCTTAGACCCGCCCTGAGTGAGCTGTCCTCAGTCCGCCATTGTTTCACTGCCGGGTAGACAAGAATGTCTCCTAAGCGATTGAGGAAGGTGTTTTATTGTTGGATGTAATAATGAACATAGCAGTCGTCATTTACTCCCGACATCTGAGCCGCTGAAGACGCAATGGGTTACATTTGTTTTTGAAGGGAATGTGCCCCCTAAATGCATCTATCTTTGTGCGAATCATTCGTGATCCAGCTTCACCTCCATAAGAAGTGAGTGTAAGGTTTTTTTGAATGAATCTTTGCAAATCGCCTTTCCTAATAATGTGCTAGTTAGCAAGTTTCATGATGAATGCAGCTAAAGTTTACCGTCTCTCAGAGAGCGTCTAGGAAGAGAGGGGCAGGGTGAGCAGAGCTAATTTGCATTTAAAGCGACATGGAATAAAACGGCTTGCTGTAGACAGAGCTGTTTTTGACAGGGTAAAAACTATGTTGTTTTTACTACCTTTGAGAAATTTTAACCAAACTATGTTACAGACCTTTCATTAAGACCCTAAAGAATCATATCAACTTGTGGAAAATGGGCATCCAATGACCTCTTTAAGCTTCTCTATAGTTTTGTGTGTTTGTTTGTTTAACATATTCCTTTGTTATTTAAAAAAAAAAACTCAAAATAACCTATTGAGTCTGTCACAGACTGGACTGGTGTCTTTCCTTAGACCCGCCCTGAGTGAGCTGTCCTCAGTCCGCCATTGTTTCACTGCCGGGTAGACAAGAATGTCTCCTAAGCGATTGAGGAAGGTGTTTTATTGTTGGATGTAATAATGAACATAGCAGTCGTCATTTACTCCCGACATCTGAGCCGCTGAAGACG